TCGAGGCACGGACATGTGATCTCTGTGTACTGTGGCCTTCATAAACCTGGGTTGTTCTGGGGAGTGGTGAGTGCTAGGTGTGGGGGGGGGGGGGGACTGGTGGTCATGATTTGGAGGTGGAGGGGAGGGACACGATATACAACACCCTTGAGAACTACTTGTGAGAGTCGTAATGTCCACGTCAGAGACGATGAGCCTGCACCATTGATATTGTGGGTTCTCGTGCGGCCATGAATCCTTTATTAATCCAGGAACCCTCCTCGATAACCCGTGGGACTTGAGCCGCCTCAGCTCTGCTCACCGAGCAGCTCGCAATCCGATGGGGTGCGGGTTCAACTCCCAGTTGGAGGTCGACTCCAGCCCGTCATCCCTCCAGAGTGGAGTGGTTGACCTCCAGAAAAACTCATCCCCCACCATAGGAATGAGGAATGTCCACCACTGGTTCAAGGCCATGAACAGATGAGCACTGCCTCGGGTGCTCATTAGATCAAGAAATAACTTTTGCTATTAAGCCCTATTGGATAAAATTTCTAAAGAGAATATATTTGGTGAATGGTTGGCAACCGATCGCCTTATAGAGCATGAAAACCGCCTCTGTAGTGTGGGTAGAGAGAGGCCTCGCTGAAGCGGCTCCGGTAGCAGTGCCGTCATCCTGTGGGTCCAGCGTCCAACGTAATGCGATGCCCTACCGACTGAATTTCGAGGAGGAGGTTTATTCGTCGCATCATATGACTCCACACGTTTACTATTCCAGATGGTGCTCTGCGTCATCCTGTCACGCGCCAAAGCATCCATTCAGAACTTCCACGCAACGATGCATCACCCCCCCCCCCCCCCCCCCGTGTGTTGGAGAATGGCCCAAAGAAATAGAGTTTATAGAACTGCTTCCGAGATCGCTTCGAGTTCCTTCTTTGTGCGTACACTTAGTGGGGGCGCACATTTCTGCCGCCGTCTGGAACGCTCTCCCTTCTATGCACTTCCAAATCTATACTGAAAAAAACTAATTTATGAAGGAACTGCTTTTGTGCGTAAAGTTTGTTGTCCTTCCCCCCGCACCTCCGATTAGCTCGGTCGCCTGCGTACGGTGCAAAAGAAGTTCAACATACGCACATGCAACACTCATGTTTTTTGTCTCGTAACAGTGAAGCCGGCGCGTCCAATTATCGGCTGGAATCCAGCCAAATTAAGAGCAACGCTGAATGTAAATGTCAGAATGTTTCGTGCAGTCATCAGTGGCTGGGCTAAGACCATTACCTCGCGACGCTCGGGTCTCAGAGGAGCCGGGCTCAGCGCTCTGACCCAGAAGCCACGTGCAGAGACACCGACTAGGAGCCGGGCTCAGCGCTCTGACCCAGAAGCCACGTGCAGAGACACCGACTAAAATTGAAAATGTTTAAACAAAAAGAAATCTTTTTACCAAGTCTTATGACTTCATTGCAAAGGTCTTGATTATTAAATTCTGTTCGCTTTTTTCCTTCCCCCCCCTACCCCACCCCCTTCTCTCCCCATGTGGGAGGAAAGTAGCATTGCCCGTATAACATTCACACGTTTAATGGAAACACACTCTTCAAGTTCTGTCGGATAGACAGCGTCCTCAACCCACTCGCCGTGCTCCGTCCGGCTGGTTCCCGAGTGCCTCCGGGAACCAGCCCGGAGGCACTCGGGATTAACCGGGCACTCGCATTGTAACGTCACCAAAATAACCGCGGCACTGCCTAATGCGTCTCTTAAAGGGCTTGTCGGTGAGCACATTGAGCACCATTTGTCCGCGTCCGAAAACTGACAGACGTTCGAGCCACTGCTGGATGAAAGCCTCGCACCAAACTGCTGTCACCTCTCATGAGCCTGCGGTTGTACCAATCCGACCTTGCACCTGTGCACGAACTGATTTCATCGCTCCATCTCTTCAGCGGACGTGCACATCGCTGCTGCGTTGCAATTCTCGTCTGCCACTCCGTCAGTATTACTATTAGTATTCTTTACAGGATTAACACGTGGGAGGCTTTCGTAACCAATATCATCGATAATACAGGTTTTTTTTTTAGGGTTAGATCACGTAAATATATAAATGTGTCGCTATACCGGCCACCATCTGACACAGCCAATTAGTAAGGGTTTCTCACGTCAACGGAGCGTGCCACATCGTTACTAGTACAGCACACCGGTGTGTTGGAGAGCAAAACCACAACGACACATTTATATATTTACGCGATCTAACCCAAAAAAAAAAACATTGTATTATGCAAGCATTCTTCGCCATCGGTGATCATCCCTCCTCACAATGTGTCCCGCCGAAGCCCGCTCACTTCTACCAACAAAATCTAACATCTTTATTATTTTGCCCATTTATTATTTACCCGTTGATATTTCTCATTAGTTTGCTCATCGTTCCGACGAGAAAGGTTTCCTTCTCCAAGCGTCGCCGGTTGCACAAATGTTCGGCCCCTCTTTATGGGCTGTGTTGATTGGTTGTCCGTGTGCACCACCGCCAATGCAGAATCACGATTTGCGTTTCGCATTACGGAATTTTTCCTGACATGTTTATTTTGTTGTTGTTCTCTAAAAAAAAAGAGGAATCGGCTCAGCAAGCAAATGAATTCAGATCATTAAGGATCTGACGTTCAAATCCTAAAGGCTTTTGTTGCAACACGAATTGCAATCCAGATGCGATGGGCGAGCAAAGTCCTTCGTATCTTTAGGGCACCACCGAGTTTTGTTTAATGCGTTCATTTTTGTTTTATTCCCCAACTCACGGGGTCAGCACATTGGGTCTTGCTGCCGGTGGTTCAGGTCAACCCCCGAGTTTGCGGGATCCGTAGCCAAGAGAAATTGGCCAACAACACTCAAAGACGGTGTGCAGCTCATAAACAGCAGCAAGGCGCGACTCCCATCATCCCTTGCGTGCACGCCATGCCACTTCCCACATTGTGTGTACAACGGCCCCAGCCTTGTCCAGACCACCAGCTCAAAGGGCTGAGCGCTTGCGAGCGGTATTTTTGCTCAGAGGCAGCTAACTCGAATATTTGGAAAATGCAGTCAATCCCAACAGCATCTTCTCGTTCGAATGCGTTTTTCTCATCATTAAACACAAGTATTGGATGGGAAGTATCCGAAGCAGCCAAAACAATTAATAGGGAGCCCTCCCACACAGCATGAATGAAGCGATTTGGACCAAGTGTGGCTCATGCATTATCAATACATTGGAAAACGTGTGAGTAGAAGCAACATGAGAGTCTGATTAGTGATAATTGTTTTTTTTTCCTAACGATAATATCCAGTTTAAAGAGCCTGGAGTATATGTTAGGAAAGTCGGCGTGCATGCTTGCCATTAGCTGGCAGACATTACGAATCTCTCAGATCCTCTGGCGTGTGCGGGTCCCAAGTTTCGCCACTGCCAGCCGTGGCATTCACGGAGCGCAACGGCCGTCTCGTTTAAATGCGACGAAAAAAAAGACAACGCTGGAGGTACGCCACCAAGCGCACAAAAAAAAAGTCAGCTCTGCTCCATACGCAAGAAGGCAAAAAAAAGGCCCGCAAGGGACTCTGAGCAATCCAAAAGGCGACCGTTGAATAGTGTCGCGAGCAACTGCCTCGGAAGGTCGAACGGCGTTTCTCCTCTTTGGGATTGTGAAATGTTTGACACGATGAGGTAGCCTGCTTCCCCGCGGCCCTGTTGAAACGGTTTCACCATTGTTAGCAATCGTCAGAACAGTGCAGCGATCATATATACACGATCGGAAAAGGCCGACTGAAGAAATGCCATCGCCTCTTATCGTTCACCCATCGCACGTCGTCGGTTGCAAGGCGGCGTTAACGACTAACCTCGCGGGATACTGTTGGCTCCTGGGGGAAAGCCCATGCACGCGGCGTATGAACGCACAAAGCTCTGCGCACACAGATTCAACACTTCGTTGCCTTACTGCCATCAACCTGGCCACTTCACAGCCCAAGGCTACAAACCCCGGTGGTGTTCCCAGGCAGCCTCCCTTTCAAGCACAAACGACGTTCGACATCGCCCAGGCTCCGAGATCCGACAACACATCGGGCAGATTTCCAGGGGCGATTTTTTGTTTGCAAAGACTTTTAACGCATCTTTGAAAAAAAAGAGCTTCATAGCTAATCGGATTCCTTCAGAATCAAAATATTCTGTGTCCGCGTCGGCTTAAGGTGAACGCGTACGTTTCCTGCAAACCGCGGCGTTGCACCCGATCGCGCCACGCGTTGAGCATTCCTTCCGTCAAGCGTTCGCGACGTTACTCACTCACTCGCAGCAGATGCCCTGAAGATGCTCGACGCGCAGCCAGACCCCCCCCACCCCGCAATGAACCACGCGTGGCGACGGGGCCGGACATCGAGTGAACGCACTGAACGTACGAGAAAACGAGTGCTTGAACCTTTCCCGTTCCGAGACGTCTCGTGAACGCGCAGGCGGTAGCGCCGCTGTTTTTAAAGACACCGTTCTCCACCGTAGGAGAACCCGCAGCGACACGACCGCACTCTATGATAGCCGGTGCCAAAAAAACTGCGCCACGTGCCCTCCCGCGTGCCCTTTTACGATGACGTACGTGTGAGTGCCCTGTATGTGTACGTATGTCATTGGAACGGGAAAGGGTTAAGAGGGTTGTAAAAAAAAAGCAGCAGCCTCTGTCCTTTGTGTCAATCGGCAGCCTCCGAATGAATGATTTCGCATTCTGTGTCTACTTTGTTGTCTTTACCCCAACACCTCCAATTAGTGCGGTTGGCAGCGTACGGTGCAGAAGAAGTTCACATACAATGTTCACTCCCCTATGAAGTGGTACTGTTTTTTTTACACCCTGTAGAAATGACTGACCGAGTCAACTCCCAAACAAGATGTGAACTTACGACCTGAGTGCGTGACATTGACTCTCTTAACCGAAGTGCCACCAGTTGACCAGCATCAACATTCGTACATGCGCAATACGATGCGAGCCCTCACCGCCCCGGGGCCCTTTCGCCCGTGGCCCCTCTCGTCCGCGCAGTTCCGGACACGTGCGAGGTCATCGCGGCACGACGCTGCTGCAACAAGAACAAGATCGAGGAGCGATCGCAGACCGTCAAGTGCTCCTGCCTGCCGGGCAAGGTGGCCGGCACCACGCGCGCTCAGCCCTCCTGCGTCGACGGTACGAATGACGGGAAAACCGCGGACCTTTTTTATTATATTTTTTACATCGGCCCGTGCGAGCAGAGCTCAGCGCACGGGACCACCACCTCCCCCTTCCCTCACGATACGAGTGGGGTTTTTTTTTTCGCTGCCGACCATTCGGCAACGGCGACAAATTTCTCTGGACATACAACTCACGTGAATTTGGCTCGGGGACAAAGCGGGTCAGGGGCTAGGCCGACGACGTCGTTCGCTGCGTGTGGTCTCGGCGGCAGTGGAAAACAATCTGGAACGGTGCCAGGCTGGATTGGCACGGTGCCAGGCTGGCTTGGCCCTGGTACGGTTCGGTTGCACCGTGGAAAGAGACATACGAAGGCCTATCATGCCAGTAAAGTTCTTCCAAATTAGTCCACGAGCCCAGATCAGAAATTTAACTTGTTGGTACCACCTCAGGTGGCATAACTTTAGTGGTTCCAGTTTCTTTGTGTGGCCAACAACACTAAATTATGCAATAACCATTTAAAATGAGTGGGATTATCAAGGAATGCACTCTTGTTAACAATGTAAGTAAATCAGTTGTACGAAAGTTTTGCTACCTCCAGTGGTACCAAGGGATCGCCACGGTGGCGAGATGTTAACTACCTCGCCTGGTATACAGGGGGTCGTGGGTTCGATTCCGACCCTGCTACGCTGATGATACACAACTATACATTTCCATATCTCCTAATGATGTAAGCCCCATCGAGAACCTGATGAAGTACATTGATGATATTGAAATGTGGATGTCACAGAATTTCCTGGCACTTAACAAAGACAAAACAGAGGTCCTGGTAATTGGAGCAAAAGTCCGAAGAGATAAACTGCTCACAAAATTTGTGCTCGCTGACAGAAAACGCCAAACTGCAGGTTAAAAACGGAGGTGTTTTGTTTCATCCGGATTTGAACTTTGAAACCCACATCAAATATATCACCAAAACGGCCTTTTATCATCTCATAAATATAGCTAATGATGCCTTCCCTCTCTCGGTCTACTACTGAGAGACTGATGCACGCTTTTATTACCAGCAGACTTGACTACTGCAATGCTCTCTTCTCCGGTCTTCTGACAAAGTAAATATGTAAACTACAACTTATTCAGAATGCAGCAGCACGTGTGCTGACAACAACCAGAAAGAGGACCCACGTAACACCCATTCTACCATCCTTGTACTGGCTGCCAGTCAGTCATAGAATTGATTTAAAAATTATTGTATGGGTTTTTTTAAATCGTTGAATGGTTTGGCATCAGCATACATGTCCTCTATGCTTTTAAGATATGAACCAGCAAGATCCCTCAGAACCTCTGGTTCCGGTCTATTAGTGTAGACAGCCCTCGTATGTGGAGCAGCCTGCCAGGTGATCTGAGGGCTTCACAATCATTAAGCAATTTTAGGTCAAATCTAAAAACTTACTTTTTTATATTTGCTTTTATAGTGTGTTTTTATATATATGACTTGCTAGCAATATTATTATGCGATTATAATTCATCCGGAAATTGCTTTTATTGTTATTGCGATTTAGTATTTTAGCAATGTTTGTCTTTTACCTATACAGCACGAAATAGTGCTATCGATAAAAAGACTTGATTGGTTGATTCCTATAGTTGGAATATGCAATTTCTTTCCTGTGATCGTGTGGATTTTTCTCCGGGTCCTCCAGTTTTCCCCTCCACATTTAGAAACGTGCATTTCGAGTATTTGGCTGCTATAAATGTCCACATTAATAAGCTACTTCATTGGGTTATCACTTGTGGCCAGGTCACTTCTGAAAAAAAGCTATTTAGCTTAGCAGGCCTTACGTGATCAAATAAAGATTGTAAAAAGAAAAAAAAATAATACTGTAAATCATCTCTAGATGCCGTACAGGATCAACTATTTTAATTATCTGGAGGAAACGTGAAATATCAGAGAGGCTTACCACAGTGACCTAGACACACATACAATGAAAACGTTACATATAAATTGGGTTTCAATTTTTTGTTGAAGATAATATAACGTCAGGAAGCTGCTTAATGAGGACAAGGGGCTGCGTTTCAGTTTGACAAATAAATAGCAGTGGAAGATTCTGGAAGTAGAAATGTGACGTCACATCAAAATGCACAACTTTAAATAAATATAGACAACACGTTCTACTTAATTAAATACAACTTTTCAAATACATTTTGATTTAAAGCTTTCGTGACTGCAGGGATTCATATTCTTGGTTCTTTCGATAAAGTCACGTAGAAGGGAAACAATAAAATAATAAAAATATAAAACAATAAAATTATCACGACGTTTCGACTGCAACACAAGCAATCATCATGTTTTCTCCTACAACGTCAGAGTGCAGCGCCACATTAAATACGCACTACAATGACAATAGCTTAAAGCGATTTGAAGCATGTTGGGGTTTTTTTTTGGGGGGGGCAGAGCTTTGTGGCGTCATATTTGAGGGGGGGGGGTCTGACTTTTTGTGATGCCGTGTGACGAGGTGGGGGGGAGGGGGTCAAAAATCGTCCAAAATCGCGTGACGTCATTTATGGACGGCCCCTAAGCTGCTGTAAAAATCTGACACGTTAACAAATTGTCATCGTGGAAAAAAAAACGATATGGTAACGATTGTTTCCCTCGGTGCATTAGGGATGGTAAGGTGAGGGGAGGAGGGTTAGGGCAGGAACAAGAGGCCGCTGGGGTCATGTGACCGTTTCGCGTTGGCACAGGAAATGAGCTTCACTCGGTGGATCCCCGAATGGCTCAGCGCGGCTCGGGTACGTTTTACAACGGCCGTGGAAATGCAGCACTAAACTGTGCGGCTTGGAAGCGTATTATTAAATATATACATATTACATTTCCTTATAGGGGAAACGCATACTAATTAACGGATTACTAACGTAGCATATAATCACAATGACACACATTACAACTAGTTACTAATCTACAACTCATTACAAATGATAACCATTGACTGATTACCAATCGATTATATAATTACAATACCCCCCTCCGCCTCAAATCACTGCACCTGAATGAGTTAAATGATGACGTCACCCTGCTGCTCTATTTAAGACCGGGAGCAAGTGAGGGCTTTACCATTCTGGCGAATTGCCCGATGATGCAGGATGTAATTACCAGCGAAACGTCGTACTGAAATATGAAATGATGTAAATTCGCTCTTCAACACACCAGTGGGCTAAAGTAATGAACTATTTGTCCTTTGTAAACATGACACATTTTTTTACTGTTTTATCCGTGTCGGGTGGTGGAGGGTTACGACGCATTTATAAATAACGCGATCTAACCCAAAAACCTTTATTATGTGCTCACAACGGATACATTTTTTTTCGCAATATAAATTATTGTTGGGCAAAAGTAACGTGTCACTCTGATGCGACGACCTAAGCAATATAACACTGTAATCCTGGCTTATTATTATTTCATTGTCGAGCAACAACTCATTTCCCTTATGCACACCATGGCTCCATCTCCGTGTGATCTACCAACTCAACTCTGACTCGCTCAATGAATGACATTGCCCATTGCCACCAAAGCCGGCCCCGTTCATCTGACCGTGTGCCTCTCAGCACGGCTGCCTGTCCCTCTGCGTCTGCATCTGCCCGTGTCTGCTTATCTCTATCCACTATGGATACCGTCTGTCTTTGCCTGTTTGTCTGCTGATCAGTCCGTCCGACTGTGTCCGTGTCTGCCTGCCCCCATCTTAGCCACCAGTCCGCCTGTCGATCTCGCTCCCCATCTGTCCGCCTGCCCATCGTTTTACTCCCTTTGTTCAACCTTTGCCCGTCCCTAATTGCCCCCCCCCCCCCGCGCCATCAAGCTCGCCCTTATTCATTTCACCCGCGTCCCACCGACTCGCCTCCCGGCGTCTCTCCACTTCCACTTGCACCACACCCGACCCCCCCCCCTCACCCCCAGCGCGCTCTCACGACTCGCCCGATTCGAGGAAGCACCTCTCGGGCTGCGCATCGTCGCCACCCACCAACACCACCCACCACCACCACCCACCACCACCACCCACCACCACCCACCACTCACCACCACCACCCACCACCACCACCCACCACCACCACCCACCACCACCCACCACTCACCACCACCACCCACCACCACCACCACCACCCACCACCACTCTCCACTCTCCTCTGCCCACACGCGCGTCCCACTTCATCCGCCCGTCCTTCCATGAAGCCGTTTCGTGAAGGCACGGTCGTGAAGGCACGGTCGCTCTGCCCGCGGACTCTCAGTGTGTGGGGCGGAGGGGGGGGGCCCGGCCGGCCGTGGTCAATGGCCAAGTGAGCTTTCACGTCCACGTGCACAAAGAGAAAACAAACAAAAGACAAAGAGCCGCCCACCCCCCTCCTACCATCCCCGTGTTGCCTGTAACAGACTGTAGGGGCAAGTGCTGTTAGCGAGCACCCTATGAAGGCCGGCACGGCACACGAGCGGGGTCAACACCACGCTCGGCCGCCTTTTGTATCCCCGCCGGCCATATTTACACAGCGCGCCAGGTTCTCATTTGAGGCTTAGTCGACCTAGGGGAGGGCCCAGGACCGGTTCAGATAATCGTCACTGGTGGTGAGCGGGAATCGAACCGAGGTAGCTAGGTTCGTACCGCAGCACGCTAACCGCTGCACTACCGCTCCTACAGACAAGAACACAGATCCCCCCCGTATGGCCTTGACAGACTGTTGGGGCCAGTGTTGTTAGCGAGCACCACATAAACACACGCGCTCATCCACCAGCAGGCATACGCCACGTACACACGTGTAGACACAATTGCACACAGACAAAGACAAGGATCCGTCCGTCTAATCAAACCGACTGTTGGGACAGGTTCCGTTAGAGAACACCTATTAAATTAAACTTACTCGCCAACATACACGCGTTCACACGTGCACACACGTACACAAAGAGACTGTTGGGGAAAAGTACTTTACCATTCTGGCGAATTGCCCGATGATGGCGAATTGCCCGATGATGCTGG